TGGTAACACCTGTGTTTACCTTACACTGTAAAATCTGACAATTTAATCTTACTCAAAAAAAGTCTATGTGAATAGAACAATTAGTCTTAAGTTATGTTTACTCAATGTCTACTTCTTACACATACTTCAATTTAGTTGTACTTAATTAATTTTGTGTAAAAGTTGTCACAAAAATGGCAAGTGAAATGAACTTTTTCATGTACTATTTCATGCTGTGAAAAATGTATCTTGTACACCATCACACAGGTTTCTAGAATGAGAATAATGCAGAAACTCAGGTGAGTCTTTACTTGTTTAGCAGCTCTAGCAACACACGCAGGTACATACATCTTACTTCTATGTGAATAATAATAATCTGTTACTGATTATCCACTTACTGAGCATGGGTGAGAAGAAGACCTCATTGGTGGGACTGGTTTTCTTCCACCTATACAGAGGAATGGGCTTCCCAGTGCTGGATGTACATGTCAGAGTCACATTTCCCTTCAGCACCGGCTTCCCCGACATAGAGCACTTAGGAACAGCAGGAGGAACTGAGAGTAGAGGATTACAAAATCTTAATTTGTTAGATTACTCAACAAAATATATGTAATTCACTCAATAATCTTAGTCAGGCTGTATGTATGTATGTATAACTACAGGGCAGACAAGGTGAAGTAAATGTCTTTTTACCCTTCACGTCCAGGCTGAGCTCAGCAGTGAGGCCCGGAAAACCAGGGATGATGATCTGGCAGAGGTAGCGTCCTGAGTCGGACTCCTGGGTGTTGTTGATGTACAGCGACACATCGCGCGAGGGCATGCTGCTGGTGAAACCAACGCGTCCCTTGAACTGGGGGCTGGCCACGTTCATGAAGTCTTTGGTGTAGGAGATGATCTGGACAAGAGAGAAGACAGTTCAGGAACAAGTATTTGTCCATATTTGTAAACGACGGACAAAGCAGTTTCATTGACATCCACATCAGTACGATTGCATTGGTGGTTATCCTGGGTCAAAAGAATCAGAGGGATTTTTAAGCCTAACATGTCTTGTAAAATTGTAATGATTCCACCAAATGTTCGAAATTTCAGAGTAAACGCGGAACACACTTTGTTCTTCACAGATAAAGTCTTCTCATAGAATCATGTACTGCACATTTATGTTCCACTTCCATTTACCTAGGCTTAAAAGATATTGAAAGGATTCTTCCAAAATGGAATGTGATATAATGCGGTGCTGGAACACGAGGCAGGAACACACTTGCCGTTGAATTGTGATGTTTCGGCATGTAACAGGAAGTTGTCTTAACTTCCATGTTCCATTTTTGGTAGGAGTCCCACCCTGAACACATGCAAAAATTCTGTCATACTCATAGCACCACCTACTGGAAACAGGAAGTAAGCCTCGTATGGCAATCATAATCTGATTTACGTGACATTTTCACCCCAACATTCGCACATTGTAAGGGGCCTAATCATCACTGCTTGCATCTTTAAATTTGATTTTATATTTCTGAATTTAGTTTATATATGGATACTGTAGTACACTAAATAGCACAAAACCAGATATATAGCATACAATATACATCCTCAGACAAACAGATAAACAAATAACAGCAGAAGTTTTTCTAAATGTCAACACATCCAACGAAAAGACCAAACCAACAATGAATGTATTTTACTAACAAGTATTGTGTGTATTATTGTGTGTTTATCAAATCCTTATAAATCTTCTTCCTTCCTGAGTCTGAAAGCTAGTCAAAGTTGATTAAAGCTGGATTTAAAAACCTGATATAATTACTGCTCCAGAGCTGATTGAGTCACTACCACCTTAGGTGTCAGTGCGTGGTGGCCAATTAGGTGCGTTGTGAGACGTATGTAGCTGAGGTGAGGGGATAGAGCGGTGTGTATGATTAAGTGCTTCAAACTTTATCGCTCCTGATGAGCAGGTTGGCACCTTGAATGCTAGCCTCTGTACATGAAAGTGACAAATGTTGTAAAGCGTTGGTCCAGTGTTTCCCAACATGAGGGTCAGGACCCCCCTGGTGGGGGTCACCAAAGCTTCACTGGGGATTGCGAGGCCTTCTTTTAAGGGGTGTAAGAAAACTTAAAAAAATACACAGTAGGCCTGTATCTCATCGTCCAGCATTAAAAAAGTATGCAGTTATAACAACCAAACAGCTAATAGAACAAGCATCAGGGAGAAGTAAACATTGAAATTGTCTGAATATAATATTGAATATAAGATGAAATATCCATAAAATATAGAATTTAGTTAGGGGTTGGCAGTTTAGTCAATGATATAAGAACTATTACAAATAGGGGTGCCTTAAGGGAAAATGTTACGAACCACTGCATTAGACCATACAAGTACAAAACACCCATATGGCCCACAGTAAAAGCAGGACAAAACAAGACTGAACTCTTTTTTTCAATTCTCAGCTTTGTCAGAAGTTCGCTGCTGGGCCGCATACCCTGCAGATGGCTGTGCATCACTGCAACACAGTAAACTCTCTACAGAGATTGTGGCATCTAGGTTTGGCTTTGAGGTAGTGAGAGTTTGTTCTTTTTATTCATCTTTTTGGATACAAATGACAGTAAAGCAGAGTGAGTTGTTGGATGGCTGTCCAGGCATATATAAATATATATATATATATATATATATATATTTATTTTAAAAAAGCCTCATTTTTAATCAACTGTGTCTTTCCCAGCTCTCTGAGTTCTCTGTTCCTCTGTTTTCTTTTTGATTGTGATCCTCTTTGGGTCATCCATCTGCACAGCCCAATAATCTGACCCAGACCAGGTCTCTAGATAATGCGTAAAAAAAACAAAACAATGCAGGGTCGAGGAGGGGGCTGTTCAGCAGGGCTTGTTACGCAAATCCCCCCTGCTTTATTTAATTTCGATGATTTCATAAATGATCTGATTTGGAAAAACACATTTATCTTAATTCAATTAAAGCGTGTGTTTTCCCCAACGCAGAAAAACACTTGCAGTAAAGAAGGGATACAGTACTTATATGAGAGCTTTAAGCCTTTTTTGTCTTGGATTAATTTCTAAGGGTTTACAAAAGAAGAGCTTTGCCAGATTAACAGTATAAAAACAGGAAAACATCCTTCATTACTGTAATCCCTGATATTATAACCACAGCAGGCAACATAAAAAGCTTTCACTGCCAGGCTGTAGATATTATATTGGATATGGAGCCAGATTTGAACAAATATCACATATGACTGTCTTACTGCTATTGGCTTTCTTACCAGCTGGGTGTTGTTGGAGACAAAGTTCCAGAGGATGGTGTTGGTGCTCAGGTCAATGCTTGGATCTGTGCTGTACGTGGCCCTCAGGACAGCCATATTACCCTTGATCACATCCATACTGGTTTGGGGCATCTGGATTTGGGCCCATATTCCTGGATGCAGGAAGAAAAAAGAGAAAAAGGAAAAAAACAATATTTTTTTTAATCCATGCAGATCTGTATTCTTAACAGCACTTATTTGCATTTCATATTATGTCGTTACTCATCTCAGCTGCGACTTTCAATAAAACTAGACACTTCATGTGTCCTGTAAGAAATGTCACAACCGCACATATTTAGGTAAGTTATGATCTAGTCCCACATTATTTATAACAACCAATAAAAAGGAACAGTGGTAACCGATAATAACAGCATCCTTATTAAGTTCTACTAAGCATTAAAACTCTTGCACAACATATGGAGGGCAGTCCATCTTCAAAAATCTAAAAATGACAGAGGCATGGCACTGCCTAATACACACTGGCTTAAGTTTTGGTCTCACTTTCACAACCAGGTCCTCACTTCCTCTCCCCTGAAATAAACAATATAATAATAATAATAAT